GCTCCTCCCGGGTCCGGAATGTCGGCGATACGAGTCCTCACCATCTGTGAGAGAGTAGAAGAGGAAATTTAGTACACTGACCACTGCACGATGGAAAATGAATAAAGAGTAGTCTTTCCTAATACCCTATAGCCTCTCGAAGATAAATACAGACGTCTCTGTACCGATCTACAAGACTCTATTAGGTTTGCCCATAACTTGTGAGACCTACGTGAACCTAGTGCTCTGATACCATGTTGTCACGACCCATTTTCCATAATAGGTCATGATGGAGCCTAACACCATTGTCAGGCCAGCCGTAGCGGAATGTGATTAAGTTCTCATTTTACTTTAGCCAAAGACAGTTATACTAGATTTTCAAATTTAAAGATAAGACCAGTAAAGATCATAAAGTGCTAAAATAGCGATACAACCCCAAAATAAATGTCTACTACTGTGTGTGCCAGAACCTGGTGTCACAAGCTAAGGGCCACTAGTAGAATATACACAAAAGAATAATACACTATCCTACTGTCTGAATTAGGATAGACAGAAACAAAAAGTACAAGAAAGGACTTCTTCGGCTGCGGATCGGCATGAAAGAGAAGCAGCTCACCGTAGAAGTCCCCAAGCGTGCTCACTGATGCGCACCAGGATGATGTCCAGATCCACCTGCCTCAAATCCTGTACATTTAAGTACAAAAGCGTGGTATGAGTACATAAACCACATGTACTCAGTAAGTATCCCGACTAATCTCGAAGAAGTAGAGACGAGAGGTCGACTTGATACTTACTAAGGTCAAGATAATATAATAATAAAGTGAGATATACAGCATGAAGAATTTCCAATAACACAAGTTTAAGAGAAGAGTCATATTCATGTTCTTGACATAATTAAACTACCAGTTTTCCCTTTTTCATATTAAACAAGTGATCATGTCATATCTAAATGTAAGCATATAAATCATGCACCATCATGCCGAGGTCGACGGCCCGCTCCAACAGAAAATAAATTGTGCACTGCCGAGGATCGAGCGGCACGAACCATTGATGCATCTATTCTCAGCGAGGCGATCGGCCCGGTCCATAATCATCAAGAAAATATCAGGAAAGCACATAAGGCTCAATTACATACAAGGGGATTCCTACCAAGACTCAACAAACACATAAGTTCACTTTTCATTTCCTCAAGTCTCTAGCAAATCATAAATGATCATATTGGCAATTTAAGATAAGAAATATTCCCTAATTAGACATGACGTGGGTCCTAAACTACCCGAACAATTATCATTATAGTAGCTACGCACGAACTTTCGTCACCTAGTACGTACGTAGCCCCCGCATTTAACAACAATTACTCATTTATAATCCTATGGGGACAATTCCCTCTTACAAGGTTAGAAAGGAGACTCACCTCGCTCCAAAGTGCACTTCCAATGTCCAAGAACGAGCCCGAGTCCTTAATTCGAAGCCGAACAATCCCAAACTAATCAAACGAAGTAAGAACTAGTAAATAAAGGCTTACAAGGTCGAACTCTAATTAGGCAATTTTATAACCATTAACACAAGTTTCCTAAATTCTGACCCCGGGCCCACGTGCCCGGATTCCGAGATTTTTCGAAGGAAGTTGTTCTCTATCACCTAAGGATCACAAATATATGATTTCTAGTTCATTACATGGCAAATTTTATGATAAATTCTTAGTTTTATTAAAACCCTAGGTCTAGCTCAAATCCTTGATTTTTTACTAAATTTTTGGTGTTTAATCTACCTAATATACATGTATTTAAGCTAAGGATGAAGGGAAATTACTTACCTTACCAAGTTATGTGGAAACCCTCTCTTGAAAGAACCCAAATCGCCTAAGTGTAGAGTGAAAAATGAGGGAAATGAGTTTGAGTTCGTATTAAATGAACCCTTCTGCCCCCAGTTATTTTCGCATCTGCGGAAGTATTTCCGCTTTTGCGGAATCCGCTTCTGCGGAATTTGGCCGCTTCTGCGGCTTTTGGGATTTGGGGCTCGACCGCTTCTGCGGTCTGAGGGCCGCATAGGCGGAACCGCTTCTGCGGTCCCTGGGCCGCTTTTGCGGTTTCCCCTGGCCTGCCCCTTCTCCGCTTCTGCGATCTAATGACCGCATCTGCGGTCCCGCTTCTGCGGTCCAAGAACCGCAGATGCGGTTATGAGAGAAGCAGCAAGCTTCAGTCATTTTCCAAATTCTAACTTCACTCGAACCTCGCTCGTTTGACGCTCGGGGCCCCCGTGCCCCGCCCGAACATGCCGACAAGTTTGAAATCACGAGGCGGACCTACTCGAACCCTCGAAACACTCAAAACAATGCTAAATCGAGGAATCAACCCCAAAACCAAATGAATCAAATCATTGAACTTCAAGTTCTTAATTCTCCTCCAACGGGTCAAAACGCCCTTAAGCTACTCGGATTGACACCAAATTTTACGGGTAAGTCTTAACTGATATTTCGGACTTGTACCAAGTTTCGGAATCGAAATCCGAACCCGATACCTAGGAAAACAATGATTTCTTAGTTTATTTAAACCTTTGAAACTTTAACTTAACAATTTCACATAAAAATTCATTACTCGGGCTAGGGACCTTGGAATTCGATTCCGGGCATACGCCCAGGTCCCATATTTTCCCACGGACCCTCAGAAATTGTCAAATCACGATTCCGGGTCTGTTTCCCCAAAATGTTGACCGAAGTCAAACTTGGCCTTTTTAAAGAAACTTAAAGAAGCAACTAGACTTATTCTTGCTCAAAACTCTTCTAACTTCCGAACCACCCGTCCCCGCAAGTCATAAATTAGCTAAAGCAAGTGCTGGAAGTCTTATTTAAGGGAACGGGGTTCAAAAAATACAAAACGACCGATCGGGTCGTTACAACTCTCCCCAGACCTCACTTGTAGGAACTCAACGAGTTTGGTGTTGTTTTTTCAGAACCGAGATATACACTAAGGGCAGATTGAAAACGGAAGAAAAGACAGAAATACACAGGACAAATGGCGTACACTCAACTAATGTCTAGTGCTGAACAGTATTTTAATGCTTAATGATTAAAGCTTAGAGCCTGTTTGGCCCCAAAAAAGTACTTTTAAAAAAATGTAAGCCGTTTGGCCAAGACAGAAAAGTACTTTTGGCCAGTAGCAAAAGCAGTTTTTCTTCTTTTGGGAAGAAGCAGAAAATTTTAGCTTCTCCCAAAAAGCAGAAGCAGAAAATTATTATTCAAAGCAAAAACTATCCTCACTATAAATTTATATTTTCCAATTATCCCTTATTGATCTAAGGATTTTTTTCATTTTTGTTTTTAGTTCTTACCCTTCTTTTAAATTTAAATATATCATATACATGAATCATATTGTAACTTTCCAAATTCTTTATTGACTTTTCTTGTTTTTTATTTTTTTCTTTGTATAATGTCATGTAACTTTTCAAATCTTCTTCTTCTTTTTTTTCCACACTAAAGTAAATTTTATCTACATCCTTCTTTGGATTATCAATTATCTTCTTACAGGTAATCATTTATAATTTCTTCTCTTATAGGTTATTAATTCCCGAATTTTTAAAACAGTTATCAAATCTAATTTGTGAAAATTACCTACAAATAGGTAATAAATTTATAATTGCACCGCATAATCTATATCTATATATTATTAAAAGAAGAAGAAGAAAAAGCCTCCACATTAAGCCAAGTGGCAACCTCACAATAAGCCTCTTGGCAATTTAGGAAAAAGTTAGTTAGGTTAGGTAATAATTATTTTTTATTTGAATTTAAATTATGCATTATTTGTTGTTAATAATTAGTTACTCTTTTTGAATTTGAATTTAAACATACTTAATTAATTTTTTTTACGAAAATAATAATTTTTTATATATTTAAAATTATTTCTATTTTATTCTCAATGCCATCTTTCAAGTTTGACACTTAGAATCATCTTGTTACAAAATTTCACCCGACGATATTCTTCTACCGATAAGGAATTCAACTGTTATGCTAATAAAGACACTACTGCAGAGATTGAGGAAGGAGATGGATTTTCTGGTATTCCTCTAGAAATGCAAGGCAAGTTTTCTACTAATATGGAGGCGCTGTGTGATAGAGTTAGAGATGAAATTATTGAGAAATGTTATCATGTGTGAGTGACTTTGCTTATTATTTCATGGTGGATTACCAATATATAGTAATTGGTGGAATATACTTCTAATTCATACTGCATGATGTATTTTGATTATTCAAATCATCATGTAAACAATAAGTAATTATACTAGATAATATTATACGATTTGGTATAACTATATATGTTATATTGATTTAAATTTTTAATATGTATGTTTACTTTATATTTTNACTTCTAATTCATACTGAATGATGTATTTTGATTATTCATATCATCATGTAAACAATAAGTAATTATACTGGATAATATTATATGATATGATATAACTATATATGTTACATTGATTTAAATTTTTAATATGCATGTTTACTTTATATTTTATTTTTTAATTAAATAAAACAAAGAATAATAAAAGTCTCATACGGTAAATATTAAAGTTCATTTTTCTCTTTAAAATAATTATAAAATTTTGGTACTATACTTTTTGATAATTTGACACTTAAAAGTACTTTTAGAAAGATTGGACAAACACAATTTGTTTACCAAATATTGCAAAAAGTACTTAAATAAATTAACCAAACACAAACTATTTTTTTCCACAAGTACTTTTTGATAAAGCACTTCTAAAAAAAAGTACTTTTTCAAAATAAGTAATTTTTGGCAGCTTGGCCAAACGGGCTCTTATCCAGCAAATAAAAATATCCGTCATTCAAATAAACAGAGGCAATTAGAATGCATCCGGCGCTTTTTGTATGCCAATGTTTGCCGGAAAATATTCATTCAATCAATTTATATCCGTCCAACTCTCCTTCAGCCCCATTTCTATAACTCAAAAATGTTTCAACTAACACCAAGCAAAATTCAAAAACAACTTGGAAAGGACAATTCACCTGGATCACATCACTGCCACAACTGCTTTACTTGGAAAAGGATAACATAATTCAACCACGAATGTATCCCAGTTCACTATGTCAAAATTGATAATTTTCAAAAACACACTACAGAGATAACAATTTCTCCAAGGAAGACAAGATAGTTTTTTAAACAAGAATCTAAGTAAATTTGGGAGGACAAAATCAAGGTAAACTACAACCTCAGGCGAAAGGAAACATTGCCAAATACAATACAATGTTTACTTAAAGCACTTAGCATCCAACAGAGCCTCTCCCTCGAAGGGCTCGTAATCCTCAATCATTTGGTTGACACGCTCCTTCTGTGCTTCATCGTTGATGTCTACTTCCTTCCATTCATAGAGCTCCATGTCATAGCATTCATCCATAACAAACTTGGGAATTTCTTTTCCACGGAAAAGCCACAAACCCTTCACCTTATATGGGGCCTCAGAACCAATTACCAACATCTTACCAAATGCGTACTTGCGTGCCAGATCCATTCTCTGCAGAAAACCACCAACCTTGTTCAATGTAACAAAGGACACTGTGTTCTCATCCTGGTACTTGTAATCACAGAACCAGAGAGAATATCCTTCGGGATCATACATGTCCCAGAAACCTGCAAAACAAGAAGAGTATGGGGTAAGGTTCTAACAAGGAACCAGTTCAAGTATCTTCTTAAGGAAGTAGACAATTCCCTCTTCTATACATTTCCTGTGATGACTCGTGATTCTCTTTAGCTCTAGTTTGTAAAACTTATCATAAGAAAAATAGGTAACAAAACAGAAAAACTAAAATATACCTTTAATGGCAACCTCGCGGAAGTTGGTCTTGGTGTTGGAGTAAAGCCTCTTCCACTCATCCAGAATCATCTTACTTGGAGGCAACAGATCAAGAGGATTCTTTGCCTTAGGCTTGGGTGCTTCTTCCTCGTCTTCAAGCTTTGGTTCTTCCTTCTTAACCTCTTTCTTTGGCTCCTCCTTTGCTTTGGGTTTTGCAGGTTCCTTTGCTGGTGCAGGCTTCTTGGATGGGGGATCTGGGATAGATTCAGCTTGTTTCACCTCACCCAATATCTTGCAGAAATTCGGCTGATTAACCACAGTCCAGAAGTATCTCTCTACATGTGGGAATTCCTTGGTAAAGCTCTTAGTCATTATATACCTAAAACCATGGCTCAAGTTGCAGGCCATTATTATGTCGGCCAATGTGATTGAATGTCCAACCAAGTAAGTGTTAGATGCAAGATGGATGTTTAAAGCACCAAGAGCTCTCTTTAATGCAGCTACTGCAGCTTCCTCGGCCTTTTTGCAGAACAAGAAGAATTTCATTTGAGTTACTTTTTCCTACTATTTCAGAAAAAAATTAAAAATGCATGGTATGAGACATACTGGAGGAATGAATACACGATAGCCAAGACGTGGGTACAACCATTGCCCAATGTTTGCATCAATCTCAGTGGCAGAAAAATCATTCCATTGCTCGATTTGAGCCTGTCAAGGAAAAAGAGAAAAACATATAGAGTAAGAATTTCACAAATGAAAAGTATAAGGTCTTGTTTGGTATGGGGATAAGGAATAATTTATACCGGGATTAAATTTGAGATGACTTTATCCCATGTTTGGTTGGGATAAAACCGTGGTATAACTAATCCCCTCCCGGGATTGTAGTGTTTTTTATCCCTACGGGAGGGTGAGATAACTAATCCCGGGATAATTAATCATGGGATAATTTGTTTCCCAACCAAACGACCCCTAACTGATAAATGAATAACACTAAGAAACCAAATCCAACTTGAATTACTTACATATTCGATCAACGAAGAGCCAAAGAGAGGATTGTCGGGCTTCAATTTAGTTACTGCATGAATTAAAGGAGGTCAATGTCAGTTAATTTCTGTTATATGATCACCATATAACAGAAATTAATTTCTATTAAAGGAAGTCAAATTAAAGGAAATAAGAAATAGCCTCACCATAGCGTGCAATAGCATTGCTCTCAAAAACAGGTCCATCAGGTGTTTCAAGCACAGGAACCTATAGGTAAAAACACACACCAAGATTAGCAAAACCTTGCTTAAGTAAATGAAAGAATTTATACAGTTTTGTAGAATAATAACACCTTTCCAATTGGATTCATCTTGACAAACTCAGGTGTCTTGTTTGATACACCCATCTCGAAATTCTTTGCAAGTTCAACCTTTACACCTGTGTACTCAGCAGCAATGAGTGCCTTTACGGCATTTTTGTTGTTACTTCCAGAGTGCAAAACCTGCAACAAATAAAATACAGACAATTTAAATGCTAAAATATCATCAAGAAATTACCTACCCAAGAGAGACAGAATAATATTTAGCATATTATGCGCACTTATTGTTTAAAGAGCTTTGCTACTGCCAAAGTAGCTCAAGGAAAATCTTCTAGCCTTCATGCAAAATGTACCATTTATTTTTGGAGCACAATTTTAAATGTAATTAACATGTTTGGAAAACGGCTAACGCAAGACCTCAATTCTCTGTTAGAAATTCAAATAGATATTTATCTTCTAATGTATTTACCATCCAACAGATTCAACAACGGCACAATATAATAACCAATTGAACACCTCAGAAATCTTCTTCATCTTTTTCTTTCAGATAATAACATAAAAAAATCTTATGCAACATTGTTTATATAAAAACTGTAATTTAAATTCCATTTTAGTCTGGCCTTAAGAAACTCTACAATAAAAACCTGGTCTTAGTTGTATAGTGTCTTTCTTAAATGGGAAGTAGATGCTTATAGGACGGTGCAATTAACGCCGAAATCTCTCTCTAAACAGAAAAAAGATTCAACATTCTCCAAGGGCCTTCACACTTGACCCAATTTGGCTCTACTTAATTGAGTGATTGCAAAACCATTTTTGAAGAGGACGAATACAAATAGCCCAACAGGCATAGTCAAAAGGAAAATTCCGGAAAATAATTAACCTCCACTTGGATCTTACAACTCATACAGTCATAGTAGTAATAACTCAATACTTGAGAGATACAAATAAAAGTATTAAACAAAACCAAACTTAGAACTTATCAAAATAAAGTGCAATAATAATTCAAAAAACACTGCAAAATCCACAACTAAAATGTACAAAAAATACTAACACATCAAAAACCCAGCAATAAAGTTGAAATCGTTGCCTATAAATTCATCAAAAACTAAAACCTAGATCTATAATTTATATCAAAAGGAATCAATGAAGATCTAAGACACATACCAGAGCCATGGCTGCACAGTTGGAACTTGCTCACTCCTTTACACCAAGATAAACAAAATTAAGCAATGAGAATCATAAATATAAAGAAAAAGGGGGAAAAATAATATTGATTCATTCATAAGTGGGAAACAAGATTTTGCTAAGGAAGTGACAGAAATTGAAAAACCAGATCAAAGCGAAAGAGAAAGGTGAGAGCTTTACCAAGTTTGTAACGGCGATAAGCTCTGAGCAGAGAAGAGAGGCAGAAAGTGAGCCTCTTCAGTAGATGCGAGAAAAGAGGTTTAGGGTTTGGTAGTGGGGGTGTCTATATATGTGGTGGGGTGGGTATATAGATCTGGAGGAGAATATGCTTTTGGTTGTAATAAATAATACTGTAGTAATTATTTAAGCAAATAAATATTTTTTAATGTATTTATTATGAAAGAATAAAATTAAGTCTTTCATTTTTATTTAATTAAAATATAAAAAATATTAAAAAAATACTTTATTCTTTCAGGATGATTTAAATATATCACAACACCATTCAATAAGTATAACAAAATTCGTCCCAAAACCTACTGCTGTATCTTAGAAATCTACCATAAAAAATAAGAAGAAAATCTTTATGAGAGTTTTCAAGAATTGCGATTTAGAATGGTGTAAATACTATGCTAAAATAAGTAGGATTATTTTTGATATATAAATTCTTTTGCTAGGAATAATTTTTTGTCAATTTAAAAATAACTTTTGATTCTTTTTCTGCTTATGGGAGACAAAGCTTTAGAAAAATAGCTTAGTCTTCTACTTAAATTTATTTTATTCCTAAAAATTTGGACAAACACCTTAACTTTCTAGCATAATTAACATAGGAGGACTCACCCCGATAAGCAGAATCGAAACAAATTACGAATGGCGCTCCTCTATAACAAATCGAAACCATACATGTACAACATCATGTGGTGCAACGACCTCAGCCCTACCGTAGAAAGCACATCAACGGGTTGGGCCTCCCCCTCTTGGGCGCCCTCTACTCGTCTGACCTGTACTCCAAGCTAGCGGTGCAGGAATATCAGCAACTGGACCAGAACTCATAGTCTGAATACCCCGCTATGACACATCTGTCCGGAGTCTGGGACAACCTCTTACCATGTGGCTGGTATCTCCACACTCAAAGCAACCTCTTTACTGACGTGGCTGTGGAAGCTGTCCGGTAAGGGTACCCTGAGACCCATGGGTACCTGGAACACCGTGCGAAGCCTGAAGCGCAAACTGAACTGGCTGACCCACAAAACTTCTACAATGTCGTACCTTCCCTCCAAATAGGGACTAGTAAATCTCTCCGGTCTACGAGACCTCTTATCCTCCATGTCCTCTCTCTCCTAACCCCGCATGACCTCTTCCTCCTAGTCCCACGTGCCCTCTAATCTTCGAGCAATCTCTACCAGCTGCTGAAACGAAACATCGGACTCCAACTCCAGAGCCATGTTGAACCGGATATCATGATGAGCCTATCAATGAACCTGCGGACCCTCTCTCTAACTGTAGAAACCAAAGTAGGCGCACGCCTAGACAAATCATTGAATATAATGGAATACTCTAACACTGACATAGGCACAACTGCTCAAACTCCACGCGCCATGCATCCCGAAGGGTCTGGGAAACAAACTCTCTCAAGAACATCCCTGAAAATTGCACCCATGAAAGTGACGCTGCATCGGCTAGACTACCCAACTCATACCCCCAACACCACTGATATACCGCTCCCTTAAGCTGGAACGTAGTAAAAGCAACCCCACTCGTGTCCACAATACCCATAGTGCGAAGAATACGGTAGCACTCCCCTAGGAAGCATCCTCTGAAGCCAAAACACTGAAGGTAGGAGGGTAATACTTCTTGAACCTTGCAAGTCTAAGTTGTTCCTCCTCAGATGTTGCTGCCCTAACCACGGGTTGAACTAGAACAACAGGTTGTGTCGGCATGACACCTGGGATCTAACCAACGTGGACTCGCTACTCCGGAGTACGGGCGGCGGGAGTCTGAGCTCCTCCCCCGATCTGTGAAGTAGTTGGTGCAACCAAAATCAACCCCGCCTGAGCCAATGTACCAAACATGCTTAGGAACTGTGCTAATGTCTCCTGAAGCCCTGGGTAACAAAAGGCACCTCCGGTACCTGTCCCCCAACCGGAACTACTGACGGCTCCTCAGCTGTTGCTCTGATAGGTGCTCTAGCTGCGGCACGTGCTCCTCCTCGGCCCCTACCTCTGTCTCTGCCCCGGCTCTTAGCAACACCGGCTCTGGGGGCGGCGTAGTGAGTCCTGCAGCTCGTGTCCTTACCATTTGTGAGAGAATAGAATGACAAAGGTTCAAACTTCGAGATTAATAAACTCATGCGATATGAATGAAAGAAGTGAAACTGTCCTAATAGTTTCGTAACTGATGACGTCCAAATCCACTACTCAAGTAAATGGACACAGTCGCATGCAATATAATTTACACAGCTATGAGTTGGGGTTGAATCCCACAGAGAATAATATGTAGGCAATTAGGTGTGTAAGAGAATTATCACTCATTATGCTAAGCCAAACACTTAGAAATATTTTGAGAAAATATTTATATCTAATTGCAAAAATGTAAACTAACCTAGAAAGCAAATAAGATGAGCAATGGCTACAAGCATGGATGCATAGGGAATTACACTCAAGTAACGATCCAATGTATTTCACGTTCTTACAAATATGAGCGAGTTTATGTTAATAGTCTCGGATAATAATTCTATATTAGCTTCTTCCGAAGACTAACAAGACTTCCTAATTAAATTATCTCTAAAACAATTAAGAGATTAAGCACAGCCGAATATGGCTACAAGTAGTTCAATCCTATCCCTAGGTAGATTCTATAAAACGAGGGTTAAAGCATCAAGTTCTGTTAATTAATCTTTCCAACCCCAAATTATCTTTCCCAAAATTAATTCGAAGTTAATGGGAGAGTCATAGGGTTAGCTAATCCCTTTGAAAATATTAAAGAACAAGAATAATTAAAGAAACAATAACTCACTTTATGATAAATAAAAATCGTTCAATACATAAGCACAACAAGATATTTAAACCACACTTTAAATATGAATATTCCCATAAACAAGAGTTAAGTGTTGGAATAAATACCACACACTTAGATATTCAATACAAAGCAAGAAAATGAAGAAGTGAATATAAATGGGTAAGAAATTCTCAACCAAAAACTAAAAATCGTCAAGACCCAAGTGTGTGTGCAAGAACCCTAGATCCAAAACTTGTGTTCTCTCTCAAGATATTGAAAAATAAGCCAAAGACATTTTACGAATGAGCTAGGTCGTGTATTTGTGGGTTTGGAATCGATAAAATATGAAATGCCAACACTGTCCTCAGTTGAAGCCCGTTGATCGCACCTGCGGAACAATCCTCGCAGGTGCGGTTACGCAGATGCGAATAGAAGCTCGCAGAAGCGAGATTTGATGGGAACATGGTACTCCGCAGAAGCGGACATCACGTGCAGGAGCGTGAACGCAGATGCGGACGTCAAGCGCAGAAGCGCGACTGCAGATACGATGAATCAGCCGCAGAAGCGGTTCATGCCTTCCAGGTCTTCTTCCGCAAATGCAGACCATTTCCTCGCAGATGCAAGGTCGCAAAAGCGACCAGTGTTCCGCATATGCGGAATCACTGAAGGAATTTGCACTTTTTAACTCTTTTTTGCTCAATTCACCTTCGATTGAATTCAACTCTCTTCATAGCATCATTTATCTGAAAATCTAGCAATGCACACCATAAATCACCTCATTTTATAATTAAAGGACACAAAAACTAAAGAAAAGAGACTAGAATAAATGGTAAAATCACCACTCATCAACTCCCCCAACTTAAAGCGTTTGCTTGTCCTCAAGCAAATCAAAACCAAATATTCAATGAGGTTCTACCATATAAAGCACAAGTAGCATCGCCATCATTCACAAATCACATTCTCTAAGTATGTATCATACTTATGGATTTGGTTGGTACTAATAATTAGCCTTAAGCATGTGAATTTTAACCAAATAACTCCCTCATTTAGAAACAACTTCATGAATGCAAAGGACTTTTAAAATAATCAAGTGACAACAAAAAGCCTCAAGAAGTGACTCAAAAGCACTAGTCTACTACATATGCTCAATTTATTCAATTCGGGATATATCAATGTCACCAATCCATCCTAATCCATGCGCCCTCATAAGAAAGAAAGTCCCAAAATCACCATATTTACAATAACAACACAAGGGACAAATGCACAAAGACACTCACTCTCAACAAAGAATTTCAAGTGTTACAAAATATCATGCCATATGCTTGCCCTTATTTTAATTCGCCGCCTATTCAAAAACATTCGGCTGGAGATCCCATAAGGACTTTTGAAGCTTGTAATATAGGTTTAGGGAAGGGTAGGATAAGTATTTGGGATACAAGTGACTACAACCTCCTTGAACACTACTCACATTTGTCATCTTTTTTTGCACTTCGCTTCTTTTTAAACCACATAGTCCTTATTGACATCTAGTTACCAAAATAGAACCACCTTAAAGTACCTCTCTAATTTTCTCAAGACTCCATATAACCATATGTATGTATGTATGTATANTATATATATATATATATATATATATATATATATATATATATAAAATACAACTATTTTCTTTTGGAGCTTGAGTATCTTCATATAAACAACTTTGAGGTATATGTTTCTACACACAATGTACATCTTCACCATTTACCTATTAACAACAACTCCCCCAACTTAGGCTTTTAGCCTCATTCTTAACATTCAAGGAGTGACGGGTTCAAAAGAGGGAATTACTTCACAAAAGGGTAAAGGTTTGTAATGAGGTAGCCAAAGAAAAGGTTAAAGCCTCAAATGGGATAAACTAGCGATAATATTTATGCAATGATAGGATCGAAAGGCTAAAGAGGCTTTTTCAAAGATCACAAAGAATGCGTAAGGTCATTCCTCCACCAAACATAACTAACATTAGCATTGAAAGACCAACCGGGCAAGTTCTAGATTATAAAAGTAAACACAAGAATTATTTTTAACAACAACTAACACACATGGCACACGAACTAATCAAGATGGATCAATTTCACTTCTTAATAAGAGGACTTAGAGCAATATCATGTCAACTAGTGAGCAAAGAGTCACCAAATGAGCCAAAAAGTTATCACAAAAATTATTCTTCCCCATGCAACTTACTTTGTCACTTTGCAACCAAAATTCGGAGGGTATTCTTAATTCACACTTCACATACAAGAGACTACTTTTATTAGTACCAAACAATCCAAAAGTCTGCACATAACAAAACAAGATTAATTCC